CAGTGTATTTGCTGTGTTTCCTCTCTGTATCCGTGTGTACGTTCAGGGGATTTCTTTAAAGACACCCTGCCGGAGGCCGACCTCTACGTCCTTGCTCGGATCCTGCATGACTGGACAGACGAGCGCTGCATAGAACTGCTCAACAGAGTTTATGGGGCCTGCAAACCAGGTCTGAGTGTGTGTGTGTGTGTGTGGGGGTTGTGTCGAAGAAAATAGTCCTTTTTTTTCCTTCTTTTCTTTTTCCTTTGCTTCTTCAAATGAGGTGGCAGATTATATCCCACAATGCAGCTGATCCCAGTAAAATCTGTCCTTCTGACTTTGATCAAAGATAACACTCTGAGGGAGGAGATGCTGTCAGGAAGCAGGAGGCTCCTGTGTGTGTGTGTGTCTGTGTGTGTGCACACTAAATGAAGAAGAAAGAAGGAATCCTATAATTGGGAGAGAATGTCTTCAACACAAACCACAGACTGTGTCTTTAACAAGGAAATAAAATTGGGGGAAAAAAGGTCTGAAGCTCCAAATCTGACCGCTGATCTGAACTGTTCAAATTACAATCACTGTAGACATCACATGCCTAGAGAAAATGGTCAGACAGGTCATTGTATATTTGAAAGAAACTTTCAGTCTGCTCTCATGTTGCCTCCATTCCTTCCTGTTTGTCCTGCAGGTGGTGCTGTACTGGTGGTGGAGGCCCTGCTCTACGAGGATGGCTCTGGCCCAGTGACTGCGCAGCTTTACTCCCTGAACATGCTGGTACAGACGGAGGGTAAGGAGAGGACCGCGGCCCAGTACGCTGCCCTGATGTCTGCCGCCGGCTTCACCAACATCCAGCACCGTCTGACAGGGAAGATTTACGACGCAGTGCTGGGACACAAGGAGGACTAAGACAAGAAAAGCTCAGTGTCTCTGAACTGTTACTCAGCTTCCACTGTAGCATTACAGCTTCACCTTGAAAACTACTTTGAAATAAAAAGTTATCACAATGCCATAGTAGTACTGTAGTACTTTTTAAAACTTTCACTTTCATTTGTCTGTTGGTTTAAATGGCTGACATACCACAGGTAGAAAATGTTTTCTACTTGTGCTATGTAAAATGATAGAAGACTGAACTGTTGGATTGTTGTGTTGGACATCAAAAATTTTTGTTGTTGTTTCACAGATGGTTCAATATGCTATTTCTCTTGCTTCTCAACCTGGAAAACTCAAATATGTTGATGGCAGTTTTTCTCTGGTTATGCGTGTGTTTGTGGTGTAAATGTGTTCTTCTGGAGGGAGGGGTTTCTGTTGCTCCTTAGACTGAACTTTGAAAACTGTTGCTCTACATTTAGGATAAACTGCTGACTTCATAGTAAAGTGTCTACGTCACCAGCTGTGACACTTTTGGCTCTAGATATTTTGTTGTGATTTCTGACAGTATTGCTTCCTCCAGCAGATGGCGCCCTTGGCTACTACCTTTGTTGCATTTGCTAATAAATGGCTCTGACCCCAGGCAGTTGTTTTGACAAAGAAATAAAGTTTTCTTGGGTTTCTTTGTCAGACTACTCTAACACACACAGAGAGAGAAAAACATTGTTTGTAGAACAGCTTCCTGTTCCATTTGCACATTTCCAGTTCCCATGGGGAGGGGTGTGCTTGAAGTAGCAACAGAACTGAGAACTGTTCAGAGTTCCTACCTTTAAACCTCTGAAAGTTGGTGGCTGGTATTTGCTGTTGTCGTAGATGTTCTATGATCCATATGTACAGCGCCATCTGTCGTTAATGAGACTTGTTGGCTTGATTTGGTCTCCACAGGATAATTCAGTTGGAGTGATTTTTTTTTCCTTACAGATGGTGCTATGAGTCATCTGGTTTAAAAATGGTGGACATTCCAACTCAGGTCGAACAAATTGGCATCAAGTGTGTTTTTTTGTTTTTTTTGTCTTCATTCCTGCGTAGTGTCTGAGTCTGAATCTTTACAGAAATGGTATTGGTTAAATCTGTTGCTGTTAGCGATTAATTATTAGCACAATAGACTGGATTTATCTTGTTGCGGGCAATGGTTGCACAGATCAGCTAAACGTAAAGGTACATACGAGCCAAAAGACACAAAAACAGTGCATACATGGAAACACATTTTCCACCAATAATAGGCTCCAATAATATATATATATATATATATATATATGTATATACATGCACATAAATGCATATATTTATATATATGCCTATATGCATATGCTGGTAATCTAAATCCTGTCATCCAAGTGAGAAATTAATCCCAGTTCAGCCTGTTTCTGCTGTAAATGATTAGCACTACACTGCAAAGGTCAACCTCTATTAGACCGTGTGCAGTGTCGGGCTCCAGTCCCATTGCTAAGAAGATGAACTTCTTTGCATATCTGTTCTCATCACTCAGTCCTGAGCTCTGTACCTGAAGGCCAGGCCTCGCTCTCTCCTTAACGGCAGAGTAATCTTTGTGCCTTTCTCTTTGTAATGTTGGATGTGACTCAATAAATCTCCTTCACAAAGGCCCTGCACATCTTTCACTTCACCCTGTCTTTGTCTCTCTCTCTCTCTCTCTCTCTCTCTCTCTCTCTGCAAACGGGATGTATTCAAAATGCAGATATCAGTCTTTTATTAGAAAGTCATCCTGTCACTGTGCTCCTCCTCACACATGACGCATGTTATTGAAGAACTGAACTTGAATGGCCCCCCACCAAAAAAATAAAAAATAAATCAAAGACGAGAAAACTTTGACATGACGAAGATAATTGTACATAATATTAGCTGTCAGTATATTATTTTGAAATGAATCAGTAGTTTTTAGAAATGATTCTATTATTTGGCCTGTATTCAGAATATCATCATTTTCTTTAAATCCCATAATTCTCTCATAATTCTTCTCCCATGGATTGTGAATTAATGAGACTTGAGATTAATGAGACCTTGTGGACCGCTTTACATAGAATTGGTCTAATGAATGGTAAATTAAGACACCATAATACTGTGCAGGATAGAAGGAAATGATATGAAGTCTGCATTATTACGTAACTATATAATGTTAAACCTACCCATTGAAAAAAACACAGTATTTGAATCAAGACTAACTGTATGTTAAACTTACCCATTGAAAAAAACACCATATTTGAATCAAGACTAACTCTATAATATGGAGTCCCACAGGGCTCCGTTTCGGGCCCCATTACTATTTTATTTAGCATGATTATTACAATATAATCTCACTAATACAGTTAGGTTTCACTCTAAAGTGCAACAAATTATTCCATGATTTCAGACATTTGTGCGGCCCATAGCATAAATGTTAATCCTATGGAACTGTATGACATCACGGAGTCAAACAGGGCTCTGTGTGAGAGCCCATCATTTATGCTGCTACACAGTTCAATCACAAAAAACCAACATGTTTGTAATTATTCCAACACTACTTCCGATTCAGCTGAGGTTACTGCGTTTGTTTGACATCAACTTCAATTTGAATAAACTTTAGTAAACTGCGTAGGCCGACACAGGTTTAATCAGAACTGCAGTCAGCCCGTTCACGTGTGAAATTATTTGATTTTATAGACCAATGGAAGAGATTAGCAACACATTTACATTTTAGCACTTTCTCAAAAACGTTCAGTTAAAGTTGGAGCTCAGATTTCCCAGAATTCCAAATGAATTAAATTTAAATACTAATGCAAAAAATGATCACCGTGAGTTACAATTTTTATATTGATTTTGTGTGTCTGTGTGTGTGTATTTGCATCTGAGTTTTCTTTTTTTTCCTCTACACCTGCAGCCTCGTCACTCAGTTTCCTCTCCCTTTAACTCAGTGATTCAGACCATCGTCTCTCTTTTACACTTGAACAGAGAGGCTCCTTATATCTCTCTCCTCTACATTTCAGTTTCATTTACGACTCCATCTCATGAGCCTATTATTGCACCGACCTACGGTTCAGCCTCAGCTGCTTTTATGGATGCTTTGAAAAACTTGTAGCTATAAAAAATGTGAAGGAGAGAAAGAGGAGAGGTCATCCTGGACCCAAAGAACAAAAACAAAGAATCCTTAAAAGATGAATAAAAAATAAATAAAAACAGGAACGCCTTGCTGCTCCTTTTCCCCCTGTTTTTCTGTAAACAAATGATATACTATACATATACAGTATGTAGAAATGGATAGATATGACCCAATCATTTTATTTAAAAAAATACATTTGATATCAAATTGGCTTATTGTTAGTAACGGCTATCTTAACATAATTTGTTTTCAAATCACGTTTTCACCGTCTCCGAGTTTCAGCCTGGGATTTCTGCCATTTGTGTTGCTATAGAAACGTGATGTGGCACAGTTTTGCTTCAGAAAAGAAACTTTTCGGGGCCAAAAAATAAAATAAATAAAAAATGACAACTAGGGTTTACTTTATGTGACGTGACCTATTTATTTAGCGTTTAGAGTCAAGTGCTGCTGAGGAGGGACCCACTTGGGCACCGCGCAGTCAGGCTTATAAAAGAGAAATGCCTCCATCACTTGAGAGGAGACACCTGTAACATGGAGCTGGGGTCGGTGGCAGCAGCGCTGCTGTGACTGCTCCCTGTTTCCTGTCAGTGAAGTTGACCTGGTTCAAACCTTCTTGGCAGGAAGTGAGTGTTCTGAGAAAGAGAAAACCAGAGAGGTGTTAGCCGGTGGCATCGACACAGACAGGCAGTTTGTCAGAAACATCGTAGGAAAATGTACAGAAAACAAACATGCGCGCACACACACACACACACACAAACAAACGTCACAACTCAATAAAAGTGTGTTTGGCTGTGAGCTGTGTTTTGTCACATCCAAACACTTTCATAATTCATGGGCCGGAGTCTGTGATATTGAAAGAGGAACAATGATGTCACACCTGTAGGCTACACACACACACACACACAGAGAGACTAAAGAAAACACAAAGTAATAATAAAAATGTATCATAGTTTTTAAAGGAAACACAATAATAAGTGATTTGCATTGATAGATAATCACAGGGAGATAAATTTCAATTAATCGTGAGTTAATTGAGGCCAATGATGTGATAAATTGATTTTGTGATTGACAGGTCAGTATTATGGTCGTCAAATGATTTTTATGACTTTCTTTATTCTTGGCTTGTACTTCAGTTGAATAACGACTTTTTCCGTAGGTGAGAGAGAGGCATTTACTGATGCACCATCTGTTTGTTTTTTGTTTTTTTGTCTTTGTCCTGCCCTTTAGCATGACTTAAAAAAACACACCAAGATTTTGTGGCTGTCTGGTGAACATAATTCAGCTACAAGGTTGTCATCTCTGCTCACACAGACACACACTGTGGAATAAAAAAAAAAACAACCAAAGACTTCATCCTGGTGTTGACGTCATTTTATTGTGTAGTATCTCGACCGAGGAAGCAACACACACACACACACACATAGAGTTGGAGTGGATTCGTCATCACTGGCTTTGTATGAGTGACATTGAAGCTGGCATTCAGATTTGGTTACAGTGGGCGCTGAGAGGACTTATGTGATTGCAGCAAGAAAATATGACAGAACACTGGGCTCCTGTCATATACGATGTGACAGTAAAGGCACGTTTCTAAAAGCGGACGATTTTGATTTCATTGCAGAGTTCATGGTCTGATGAGTGAACCGAGGCTGTTGTTGCTGCCGGAATTTTCCTCTGGTGTTTCTTACCCTTCGTTTCGTTTGGTCCTTGTGTCGTTACATCCTGTTGTTTTGCCAGTTTGTTGTTAGTGTTTCTGAGACTTCTAGATACCTTTCGCTACACTCCAGTACTTAGAGTCCTTGGGATTTTAGAGATTTTTGTATGATAGTTTCAACTTTTTTGGACATCACATTTTTGGACATGTCAGTTTCCACTGGGCTAGCTCAGGAGGTACCTCAGGGTCCACCTCTAGGGTCCGTTCTTTTCTTTACAGTAAAATAATTCCACTGTTCTTTTAGGGCATTTTTCTTCTTCTTTTTTTTTT